GGAGAGGAAAAAGGAACTATCATAGTGGTCTCTAGATCACGAGGATGGAGAGGAAAAAGAAATTATTATAGTGGTTTCTAGACAACGAGGAGGGCGAGGTAAAAGAAACTATGATAGAGGTCTCTAGACGACGAGAAGGGAGAGGAAAAAGAAACTATCATAGTGGTTTCTAGACGGCGAGGAGGGAAAGGAAAAAGAAACTATTATAGTGGTCTCTAGACGACCAGGAGGGAAAGGAAAAAAGAAACTATCATAGTGGTCTGTAGATGACGAGGAGGGAAAGGAAAAAGAAACTATAATAGTGGTCTCTAGACAGCAAGGAGAGAGTGAGGAAACAGAAACTATCATTGTAGTCTCTAGACGACAAGGAGGGTGAGGAAAAAGGAACTATCGTAGTGGTCTCTAGACAACGAGGAGGGCGAGGAAAAAGAAACTATTATAGTGGTCTCTAGACGACGAGGAGGGAGAGGAAAAAGGAACTATCATAGTGGTCTCTAGACAACGAGGGGGGAGAGGAAAAAGAAACTATCATAGTGTTTTCTAGGCAACGATGAGGAAAAGGAAAAAGGAAGTGTCATAGTGGTCTCTAGACGACGAGGAGGGAGAGGAAAAAGAAACTATCATTTTAGTCTGTAGACGATAGATAGAAGAAAAAGAATCTATCATAGTTGTCTCTAGACGACGAGGAGGGAGAGGAAAAAGACACTATCATAGTGTTAACTAGACAACGAGGAGAGAGAGGGAATAGAACTCTCATAGTGGTATCTAGACGACGAGGAGGCAGAGGAAAAAGAAACTATCATAGTGGTCTCTAGACAAAGAGGGGGAGAGGAAAAAGAAACTATCATAGTGGTCTCTAGACATCGAGGAGAGAGAGGGAAAAGAACTATCAACGTGGTCTCTAGACGTCGAGGAAGGAGAGGAAAAAGGAACTATCATAGTGATCTCTCGGCGACGAGGAGGGAAAGGAAAAAGAAACTATAATAGTGATCTCTAGATGACGAGGAAGGAGAGGACAAAGAGTGATCAATTAATTAACCTTGTATCATAGTTTAGGGACCTTTCTGTTGAAAATGTGACAGAGTTAAATCGTATATACATGCACAGTGCGTTAACTGGAGTGCAGGTATTAGTTACCCGCACTCCAGAGCATGCCCATTGATTATATAATTTTGTCCGGGGTTTACATATTGTGACGACAGATAAAGGGCATAGCGATGGATATATCATATTCAGATGCTCGTTCATTGGTTACTTTTTATATGGGGTTTCATATTGTGGTATCAGGGAACGTGTTTTTTGTTTGACTATGATACAAAATAGAAAGAACATCAAAACACTCGGCAATCTGGTTTATACTCGGGGGCTACGCCCCCTCGTACAAATCAAATAGCCTCGTGTTTCGATGCTCTTTCTATTACTTAAATTTACTAAGTAAGGATGAAATAATAATAATAATAATAACGATTATAATAATAATAATAATAATAACAATAATAATAATAATAATAATTATTATTATTATTATCATTATTATTTTTATTATTATTATTATTATTATTGTTTTTATTATTATTGACAAAATTAAATAAGACAAATCCGTAATGAAGGATTTTATCTTTGTTTGAAAAAACAGACAATTCAGAGCCTCATCCAATCGAAGGGCAAGAATATATATTATATCCATGATTCTGTTTGCTATTGTGTAGTGACCATATTAACTGTTGACTTTTTCTCCTTAGCATCTCATCATCTATATGGAAAAAAAAAATTTATGAAAAAATCAGTAGTTATAATCTTTAATACAGGTAATTTATCTGTATCACTTTTAAGAGAATTTAATTAATGACAGGGTATCGGTTAACATTTTTATATCATTTTTTAAAAATATATTTTTCATTGAAATGTATTAATATAATTAGTTAACAAAAATGGATAGTATCAGTTCTTCCATACGTAACAGTTTTCTTGATTACAATGACAACAAGACAGCCTGTTCTTAGTGTTTGCCAAAAAATAACTTTTTTATATTTTTAAGTTTTAGCCAGTATATTTATTGGGTGGGTGATCATGTGTCATTTGTGTTCAGTGATTTGGAGGACACAAATAAATATAAATAAATAAATAAATACATCTAAAATCGATAAAATTGAAATTGTTGAAGGCTTGTTTTTGATTGAGAATGTTCATGGTGGACGGCAATTGAAGACCTTGAAAATTTATCCATATTAAATTAAATATTGCTTGAACAAACAGTTATATTCATATTATTGATATAAAATTGTAAATATAGAATATCACAAGGTTTGCATCCAACAAATACCTGTAACTGTGTTATTTCCGCTTTATCTGTGTAAAACGACAAACCCCATCTTGATGAAATATCAAATACATGTATGATAAACAAGATCAACAAGGAAGGGCGGCAAGCCATTTGATCATTAAGACATCTTTCCATGATGAACCACAATCTTCATTGCCGTTCTTGAGAATAGCAGTGAGACTACATCTTGTGTAATGCTATAAAATATTTCAATTGTTTATATATAATATATGTGTGACATCGCAACTAACATACTGTTTAGCTCTTAACACAAACTCATATGCTGTTTTGTCTTTACGCCATGGTTATTCCTTTCATTATCTGTTTACATCAATATTGACAAATAGGGGTATCAATAATTCTTATATAAAACCATACTATTTGTTGCCTTACCAATCATATGCGTTTAGCATAAAAGTGAAGTTGTAAAGTGTTCGCTCTTTGAGTGTAGAGACTCTGGTTCGGATCATGTTAAAATTTAAATTTTTTTGTTTTTAAAAACTTTTTTCCCAAAGGGTTTTTTAAATATAATTTTGTAAATTTTATCTGAATTTTGTTTCTTATGTACCTGAATTTGAAAAAAATAGGCCCAAAAATTCAATTTTACTTTTTGTATAAAACGGCAAGGTCTGAGAAGGAAGGACCTCATTTTCGGGAGGCGATTTGGGTAGGCAAGAAAAATGTTTTTCCCTAAAGTTGGGGTAGTAAAACGAGGAAGGGGTAAGTTGAATTCATTTTGCAGAACTAAAAAAAACCCCGGGAAACTCAAAATGATTAATATTTAAATAAAACAAATATTTAAAAAAAAAGATTGCTAATATTTTTTCTTTTAAAAAACTATTTGTGTAAAAACGAACTACCTTCAATTAAAAGCGAATTTTCAAGTGAAATGGGACTGAAGGAAAATTTAAGAGTATCTTTATAAAACAATATCTTGACTGACTTTCCATGTATTTGTGCATTCATTAAACAAATTGCATTAAAATATTTGTACATAGTAAAGCAAAAATTTATTGTTTTACTTTGTGATGTCATATCTTTGTTTTTTTAAAAATGATACAAATCTAGCATATACTTAAATGTATATATTCGGGAAATGAATATGTTTAATCTAAATAAATCTAGTCTCTATTTTATGTTACAAAGCAATAAAAACTTTCATTTTTAAAATAGGTATTTATCTACAAATATCTATAAATGAAGTTTACCAAAAATATTATATTAAATTATGTCAAAATCATGTTTGCTTCTTTAAAAAGAAGCATGCGAGAGGTCTTTTGTTTAGAAGATTTGTTGAATTCGAAAATATTTTGGGATATTTTTGCATAAGCGACACACTGAATGGTTACAAATTACAATTTTTTAACAAAATAGAATTTATTATGACCCTTATTCATTTTTAAATACAATACCTTTAACCTTTTATCCCGTCCATTTACTCCGAGATATGACATTTGTAATTTTGCTGATAATTAGCTGAAACGATTACCATATAATTGTCATTAATGTTAGAATAACCATAATTTACGTACAAAATAATATTCCAGTGAAGTCATTTGGAGTTCATACATGGATATGTTTTCCTTCCTATGTTTCCAACAGGTATATGGAACTACGCAGCATACATTTAAAACATATAATATGCATTTATATTGAAACTATGCTTAGAATCACCGCGTGACATTGTGCCAGCAATAAAGTTAACTTACAGAAATGCCTTAAAGCATAGTAAAGTATAAAATTGAACACGATCAAGGCAAAGTGTAAAATTATTTTGACTTTTACCTTTGCACTCAAAATTTACACGTTGGTGAGCATAATGTTGTTAAAACCAAAACATTGATAAAAGATCTTGCCAATATGTGCGCTGTGTTAAAAAATAACCTTTATACATGGTATCATAACGCCATCAGAGTCGTACTCATCACTCATTTCTCAAGCCAATAACATGACAATGTGTAAGTTGGATATCTGCCTCGTACACGCTCTCGGTGTCACATGAAACTCGTGACTAGGTCATTCCTAAACAGAAAGATCGTGTACTCGGGCGATATCCAATACCTCTTGAAATAACTTACGAATGTCCAACTCATCTTCATTATGTTTAACTAGCACGGGATGACACTGAAGAAACAGTCAGTACTATATTCCTGTTAAATAAAATAAAATGATTAACTTGTTTCTACAAAATTATCTTTTATGCCTTTCAGATAATTACGCCCATTATCGTCACAAAAGAAAGCTAACATGTATTAAATTACAAATATAATTTCATCATCCTCACCAAGCTTCGTTCATGTGTGATTTGATACAATCGAGGACTGCATTCTGTTAACATAACTATGCTTTGTTGAAATTTGTAAATATATCTTAAGTTTCATAGATCACGTGTATGTTGTCAATAAGTCAGCAAAATTTAACTTTGTAATTCTCCAAATATTTATGGCGTTAAGTATGTCCGATTCAATATGTGAGTAAAAGTTAACCAGGAAAATCAGCGTTTTCCTTTCCCTTACCAATACGTCCATAAGGACACCAAACAGTCAAAATGTGACGAATGTCTCTTTTAGGAAAATATGACAATAACTTTACCACATTTGCTTTGTATAGGATAAAAAGCAATGCGAACATGTTTTTGTTTTGACAGTGACATTTTCTAAGAAATACTAAGCCTATATACGTATAAGTGTTTTATTTTAATATGATAAAACTGAATGACAACAAATCAGATTCATCCATTACAAACTACAAATTATTTCATGGCAATGATAATTGTTTGCTGTTGAATTTCAACCATATCAACTGTGAATGTGTCCATCTTAGCATCTCATATTCTATTTGAAACAAAAAACAAACAACAATGATTCAATTATTATACGTTACATAACCTAACTGTGCTTGGCAGATCTAATTGATCTACATTATTTCTAAATTAAGATTTGATGAACGACATGGGTACTTTTTAAAAACCTATTTTGAATATTTTGTTATTAAATATTCCAACAATCTGAAAATTATTTATTGAAAAGATATATGAACAGAAAGAAACAGTATAACTAGAATATATTCATAAATCAATACCTGTAACGCCTGAATTTCCTCTTTATCTATGTAAAATAGCATGCCCCATCCTGACGAGACTTCCAGCCAGGAAACTAATAAGATATCTTGCCATGATGAGTCACAATTAATAATGTTGTTCTTGAGAATAACAGCCAGGCTACAGCTGAATACGTTTTGCCCGACTCTACAAAGTATTTGATAATTTTTCTTTGTAATAAGTGTTTTCAAGTAAACTCCAATTTACGCTTTTTTACTATCACAAATACATACTCAAACATTTTTGTATCTATAACATCTGTACATAGTGTTAACGATTTTGTTTCGTTTGCCCGGCGTGTTAAGTCTAAAATATGATAAACAAGATCAACAAGGAAAGGCGGCGTTCAATGAACGCAACCCCCACATGACCCAGCAACAAGAACCAATGGCAAGGAGCCCAGGGGGACCCCAAACAAAAACAGGACAGGGCAAAGACAGAGCACGGACAGGTTAATCATTAAATGATAATTAATTTGTAACTGATTAGGAATTCAAAGAAAATAAAAATAGGCCCACAAAGGGGAAGGGGACAGGAGACCGGGGGAGGGGCATTAATCAATTTAAACTCAGTTACAAAATTTGCATTGCCAACGGATATTTGTTATTTTCGAGTCACTGTTATAGAACAGAACAGTACAAGCGTCATGTGGCCTGAATAGAGCTCGAATCTACGGTTCTTAGGCGGGGGGGGGGGACAGACAACCTAGCCACTTGGCCATCCGCTAGTATTTTGATGTATTTACCTTAAAATTTATTATTGGAAAGGCGTGTTTCAATGACCTTTAATTGACGTTCTCTGTGACATTATTATCAACCAACATAAAAAGTAGATAATAATAAAGGTAGACAAGTAACAATAGAGTCTGTTTAACATTATTTACGAGGGGCAACAACTCAATTTAACCATGAATTGCACTTGAAAGTGCATGTATAATATACCGTTGGAACGATTATTGATCTTTTCTAACCAGTGGTGTATTTCTGCAAGATTTGCATGTGCAATAAAATTTAAGTAGGTCATCTAATATACTGGTTGTAAACATAACTAAGCTGTGTTGTGATCTAAGAGAGGAGCAAAGAGTAAATTGATAAAATCAATTGCCAGATTGGTGTCAATGTTTAGGGAAGGTAGATTTAATGTTATGGATGATCCCCGCCCTAGGCGACCAATTTCCGTTACCTCTGAAAAATACATCAGCACTGCCAAATCCATAGTCGAAGAAAATAATAGATATACCGTGGAGGAGATGAGAGACATATTGGGCCTTAGTGTGTCATATGTGTTTTCCAACTTGAAAGAAAAGATAAAATAAGGGAAAGTGTGCGCACGTTGGATCCCGCATTTGCTTACTTGCTGACAAGAAAAGGGAGCCGATGCAAAAAGCCCTGGCGTTATTTGTAGGTTCGAAATTAAAGATCTAGCCTGAAATAAATTGCCACAGGGGATGAAATGTGGCTTTAGATTTTTTGAGCCCGAAAATAATTTTAGTATCAAAATGTGGGTAAGTGAACACAGCGATCGCCCATTTGTTGTTGGTCCGGGTGCGCAGGATCAAAATTATTAGTACATGATCATGCCCCTGCTTACCGGTTACCCTTGGTTCAAGCTTATTTAGAGGAGCTGAGAAATTATGTTTTGCTACATCCTGCTATAGTCTTAACCTTTCTATTTGTGACTTTTCGTTAAATCCATAAATTAAAGCTTGCCTTCGCTGTCACCGGTTCAAACCCGTAGTGTCAGCGGAAGGGCTTTTTACAGTGTATAAACAGTATACTCAAAATATAGTTAAAATGCTTATTCGGAATGGATTCTGAGGCTAGAAAAGTGTGAAGTGGTGCATGTTGAATATTTGGAAGGACTATACTCATCTTGTTTCCAAGGTATGACTTATTTTATAGACGCGCTGCCGTTTCCACTAATTATATATGCCCTTCGTAATTACCTACCTACTACAACAATGATATAAGTAACAGAAAGAGCATCAAAACACGAGGTAATCTGATTTGTACAAGGCAGCGTAGCCCCCGAGTTTATAAATTAGATTGCCGAGTGTTTTGATGTTCTTTCTCTTTTGTATCAAACACTAACCCTGTTGTCCAAATATTTAAAACCCAAGAAAAAGTGAACTTATGAACGAACATCTGAATATGATTTTTTTTTATCGATTTCCCTTTATCTGTCGACACAATAAGTAAACCTCAGAAAAAATGAGCTAATCAACGGGCATGCTCTGGAGTGCGGGTAACTGATAACTCCAGTTAACGCACTTTGCATGTATATGTATACGATTTAACTCTGACACATTTTCAACAGAAAGGTCCCCAAACTATGATACAAACACATGTTGTTTCACTTTCTACCTAAATTACCAAAAAATAACTCTTTCAGACAATTTTAAAAGATTTCTTACCAGCGTTCTTTTTATTTAGGGAAGAGCTCTTATTATTATTATTAAACAAATGTATTTATTTCACAACTTCAAGCGTTTGCAGCATCTCATCTTCCAATATAAATAATATTTTATCCAGTGTTATCAATGTAGCACTGTTTTCCATTTTACAGATTTCCAGTTCGAAATTTCATATAAAATTACTTATCTACTCAATTTTAAATTCTATCAAATTAATATCATTTGCGTGTTATTGAGTTTACTATTGAATTTATTGCTGCAGAACCTTTTAAAGTGTCGACTATCCCTTTGTTTAATATAAATTTGATAGATGTGCACTTGGTTAATAAATAAAATTCAGTATTCAATATAATAACCTTATAAGGTCCACATACATGTAAGTATATCACAGCTTTATGTACATTAAAATAATGAAATATGTATTAAGAGATATTATGCGTTTGATACTTACATTCTATATGCATCGGCAAGCCCTGACAAATAGGTTTCGTTGCTGCTATACTCTGGAGGCTGGGGAGGTACGCATGAATCTAATGTTTTCATAAATGTAGATCGACACGAGGCATTGTAATTCAGTCCATCATGCAATACTAAAATATAGAGGGTTAAGAATTATCAAATATTTCATCAAAACTAGTTTGACATTCAATTTCAGGGATTGTTGATACTGCATCTGTGTAAAAATGACATTGTGCTTTTTAAGTTGTCAATGAATAAATGTTTAACGAGTTTCTTTTGTACAATACATAATAAAGTTTATTTAATAAAAAATTGGTAGCGATCAGTTATATGCCCATGTATTTCTATTATAATGGGCTATAATTATTCTTTCAGACCATAACCACCACTTAACGTACGTCCCGAATGCGTACAGGATATTAAATAGTTTTGTTTATAACCGCACGAAATTGTTGGTGTTTGAATGTATAACATTTGATGTTCGGGTTTTTATTCAGCTCCTACATTTGAATTTCATTTCACTATTCCTGAGATCGATAGATATTCAATGTGAAGGTTAATTAATACTTTAAACTCATCATGAGTCAGATTATATATTTAACTTACTCTTTATTATACTCACTTCTTACAAGCCAACTTGCAGGTTGGTCACCGTTACAGAAGATTGACCATCTTTCAGCGAGCATTTCCTTTAATTTATCTTGTTCTTCATGACACACATGTTTGGCAGTACAATTAGCACATTTGGAGTATTCATCGTAATTTCTTAAAAAAAAAAAAATTAAAAAAAAAGAAATTCCAAAAAAGTAATTGTATGCTGAGGCGATGATTATCCACTACAGGAGTAACACAGACACTTGGGGTTTGGACCTCAAACGCCTTTAAAATCCAAATAAAATTGCATATTTGACAATCCCAGCACATGTACTGATCATATATATCAAAAAAACTTAATATAAGCCGTTTTTAAAAAAATCATATTTCAACATCTATAATAATACACAGGATAAAAAATGTTCGCCGGAAAAAATCCGCACCCCTACCGTCATAATCACCATGTATTTTATTCCATTTCCAATATTTTCACATAATCCTTTGGTCCATCGACACAGAAGATATAATTCTTCACGATGATGGTCAATTTTAAACTTCAACGGTAATATAAATAACGTAACAGCCGAAATAAACATCAAGATTATTGCCGTTTTCCTCCATTAACAAAATCTTTCGATAAATGTCCATATCCAGTCGGCTATGAACGAAGTAATCCGTTTATTAAATTCAAACGTGGCCCCAGCTTTGCCGCGTACAAAATGCGCAGCGCTTTTAAGTTTGGGAACCAACATAATCGTATGACTTCGTTCATAGCCGACTGGAGATGGAAATTTATCGAAAGATTTTGACAATGGAGGAAAACGGCAATAATCTTGATATTTATTTCGGCTGTTGCGTTGTTTATATTACCGTTGAAGTTTAAAATTGACCATCATCGTTGAAGAATTATATCTTCCTGGTGTCGATGGGACAAAAGGATTATGTGAAAATATTGAAATGGAATAAAATTACATTGGGTGAATTTATAACGGTAGGGGTGCGGGATTTTTTCCGGCGAACATTTTTATCTTGTGTATTATTATAGATGTTGAAAATATGATTTTTTTCCCAAAACGGCTTATATTAAGTTTTATAATATATATTATTGATCATACATGTGCTGAGATTGACAAATATGCATTTTTTT